TCAAAATAAAAAATTATTATTTTTAAAATCAATAAATATATAATTAATATTAATAAAAATTATTCAATTTATCATTTGTTATTTTTCTAATAAAATAAAATAACTATATAGAGTATTTTGTATTTCTACAGAGAAATCTCTTGCAATAAATTATCAATTTTATGAACAAATGAGAAGTATCTCAAATTTATAATATTTGAGATACATATTTATATTCTTTTATTCAACATATATTTTTATATTACTTCAAAAATATTTTTTTCTTCTTGAAAGCTTTTGTATTCTATGAACTTTCAATGAACGACTATTTTTACAGTTTTCATAATGCACACAGAGATTAATATTGTATAATAACTCACATAATTAATTTTTTATTTAGCACTAGTTTTACTTTAATGCCAAATTTATTAAAATTTTCTTTTAATAATCTTCATCTTTTAAGATGTAACAAACAAATTTAAAATTTGCGAAATCTTTGATTGCATATATATTATGAATCATATCTTCATCAATAAATAATATAGTTTTTAAATACATTTCTGTTTATAAATCTTATTTATATAAATATAGAACACATAGAATTTCTTTAAAATAAAATCTGTTGTACTATTATACCTACTCTATATTATTGTATAGTTTTCACAGATATATCAATGATATTTATATTTGATCCTTGCTAAAATTCTTCTTGAATCGCATAAACATTCCTAAATGACAACATAAAGTATCGTATATAAATCTATTTTGAAATATTATAATAATTTATCAAATACAATTATCAAGTATTATAATTAATAAATTATCAAGTATCAATAATTTTATCTTTTTCTTTAAATCTTTAGCTATAAATCTATAAAAGTTAAAATAATTTGTCAAACTGCTTGTTGTATATATCATGCAGTGAATAACTTAATCGTTATCAAAAATAAGATGTTACCATAATTGTAAGCATCCAATCTTTTACTGTATCTGCATTTCCTCTCTATTTTTTTTCCGGAAAAAAGTGTTGAATACGGAACTCTAGTCGAGAAGTATTTATGTGATAAAATTAAATTGAACAATAATTTATGTTATCATGTTATTATCATAATGAGATATTCCACGCTCTGCAACTACAAATAATACAAAACAATATCAATAATATTCAAATATGTTTAATTAAGAAATAAAAAATAAAAAAAGATGAAAAAATGCGATAAGAATGCATTCTTTTGTTACATCTGATTATTAAAATGAAAGTGAAGCATGGATAGAAAGATTCGCTTTCATTTACATATGTGTATGAATATCGAAATAAATAGGTTAGAAACTAGCTTAGCCTATTTATTAAACATCCTTCAACTTTGCTATTGCGAACAAAACATCCAGATTCTCGTATACGGTTCGGTGAGCACGGTCCTCGCGAATCATGACTTTCGAGCTGTTTCTTGTTAAAAATATTTGCGACAACCGTGACAAGGGAGATGTTTTTCCATTCTTCATATCATGATACATACTAAAGACAACAGGAAATAGCTGAAAATTGTATTAAAAATTTGAATGCGTAATAAATGTTCATTTTCACATTACTATGAAGAAAAATATTAATTGTGGATATTTCGTATCACGCCATTTGCATAAAGACTTTAAACGATTTTAATTCCCGCGCCAAATGTTCGAGAACTGCTCGGCAATTTTCGGTAGATTTCGTGCGACTCTTCGACTTGATTGGCTGATTTTAAAAATTTCGATTCCGCGAGAATGCGAATTATATTATATCCGCGAATTACTACTTTAAAGCTTGACCAATCAGGACAAGGAATACCGGCGCTAATTTCAAGATGTTACGTTCGGCTTCTTCCTTTTTCCCCGCGGAAACGGCGCTTGGTACAGACGGAGAAATTGCGAGCTTCGGTAATATCCGCACAGGTAAGTCGCCAGAAAGATAATCGAACCAAATAAATACGATTATACGCAATAGAATTGTTTTCTTGAATAGACTGTGATAATATTTAATAGTTTTATGGCATATTAGACGGGAATTATAAGAATAAAAAGTCAAGCGTCTTTTCGGTTAAGATAATCGGCCATTATGGATATACTTTTATTCTATCCGTCTTCCGAGTATTTGTTTAGAGACGAGTCTATTCTTCTACATGTATTTATAATCGAATTTACATTATGTCTAGTATTATCATTATGGAAAGCTTGCTTAGAAATTAATCATAGAATATCTTATTAAGTCAACGGCGCGATGGGCCGTTGCATTAATTTCCGAGACGCGATCGCGAAAAATATTGGCGCTGATTTCAAGACGTTACGTCCGGCTTCTTCCTCTTTTCCCGCGGAAACGGCGTTTGGTACAGACGCAGAATTGCGAGCTTCAGTAATATCCGCACAGGTAAATCGCCAAAGAGATAATCGAACCAAATAGATACGATTATATGAAATAGAATTGTTTTCTTGAATAGACTGTGAGAATATTTAATAGTTTTATGGCATATTAGACGGGAATTATAAGAACAAAAAGTCAAGCGTCTTTTCGGTTAAGATAATCGGCTATTATGGATATACTTTTATTCTATCCATCTTCCGAGTACTTGTTTAGAAACGAGTCTATTCTTCTATATGTATTTATAATCAAATTTATATTATGTCTAGTATTATCCTTATCGAAAGCTTGTTTAAGAATTAATCGCAGAGTATCCTATTAGGTTAACGGCGCGGTGCGGCGTCGCATTAATTTTCGAGACGCGATCGCGAAAAATACCTCGTGAAACATGGTTAAGTATGTGTTGGTTAGTGAGTATTAACTTGCGCAATTATTTAATTTGATTAAGCGATTAAACGTATCGCGACAACGGCTTTTTGTCGAAGAAAACATTTTGCGCGCTACATTTACTTGAGTAAATAGGAATAACGATAATTATTTATGGAAATCATTGTTTCTCATGATATACTCTCATATACTTACAATAATTTTCATGTATTAGAATCATATTTTAATCATTTTTGATTGTGTATTAATACAATGGGTAGCGTTACCCGCCATTAAAATGTTGTGCAAAAGTACCGCTTATTAATTATATTCGGGTATGATTAATGTGCGCGTAATTATAATTAATTTGTTTTTTTTTTTCCAGAGAGTATCACGAAAGAGCGATAATGGTGAAATAAGAGAGGGGAAGGAGAAGGCCCGGGGCGGCATCAAGCGACGGCGAAATAACCATAAAATGTGAATAATTTATTATTTTTTATGTGTATATTATTATTATTTGAAACAATTTAATAAAAGGAAAATTTTAATGCACGCTGTAATTACATTTTGGGATGTAATTTGGACACTTGTTTTAAATTAGATTAAATAGATAAATTTGTATATTTTACAGATTAACACTGTATATTACGCTGTATAACTCAGTAGCTGCACATCGCACCAATAAGGATTTAAACTGTTCTCTATATTAATTACAAGGTAATGGATTGGTGAAAATTAACAGATATATGTATAAAATATATTTAAAAAATAACAAATACATTAGAAACAAAAATCAAACAATTTATAATATTCTTCTGATATTCTGATTTATATATTAAAATATACGTATCAAATATCAAATTTAATATTTATTATCTGGAAATATTTTAAGCGCTACTACAATTTGGATTTTATTAACATATTACAGATCAACATAGAATTCTGTCAACGCCTCTGACAACCTAAGAGAAGGAGGAGGTCTGGGAAAGGCATTGGGCGACGGCGGAGCAACTTTGGGGTGAGAATATAATATTTATATATTAAATTGTAATTGTGTATTCAATCAAAATTTATTGGTTATATTAAATCAAAATTTGTTAAATGTGTTAATCCAAAATTTAACAAAATTATATGATTATGTTTTTATTTATTATTGTATGCATGAAAAATAAAACTCAATGCGTATAACAATAATATTTTGAAATATTACTTATTTTAGGCGCTACTACAATTTATATTCTATTTGCATGTTACAGATCAACGTAGCTTCGATGCAGTCAACTCCGCTGCTGCATATCGGGTGGTGAGTGAATTACATTTTATTACGAGGTAACGGTTTTGTAGTGAGTTGATTGTAGATTTGGATTTTAGATAGACTGTAGATTGTAGTTAGTTCCGTTACCTCAAAATGGATGAATGGATTACAACAGATTAGATTAATATTTGACTTTAATATAAACAGAAAACATTTTATAATACGTAGATTTAAACTAATTTATTTTATAAACATACTATTGATCATTAATCGCGTGTGTGATTATAAATTCTTTAAATAATTATATAAACACTAATAATTTAATTTTATATATATACATTTCATTCTAATTTTTTGTAATCCGATTCATATGGATTGATAATTTGGCTCTATACTAGTTAGAGCGATATATTGTAATATAATATGTATGTGCCAAACGATATTTTGCGGTTATATTATCGCGACTGAAAGAAAAACAAAAAGAAGTAGATTTAAAATTTGCAGAAGAATTTACGGTAATATGTTAGATTTTCTATAGTGCAAATTATACGCGTCAAATTATAATTTATTTTTTATTTCTAAGATTGACCGATTACACTGTCACGTATTTCGGAGAAAATAGCACGACAAGCCGCATTAATTGTAAATAAATTGTGGATTAACGACATACGAAGATTGATAGAGCAAATATATATGGAGTTCTCGCGTAATAAGAAACGTAAAAAATTTCTCTTCAGTTAACTGTAATTTGTTTTTATTAATATTCATTTTAATTAATATTTATCAAAGACGTTTTTAACTAGGGGGGAAGGAAAAATATTATTAATACTAAAAAATTAATTACTAATGAAGCGCCGCTACTAATGAAGACGTCGTCGCCGAAGAAGTCCTCGTCGTGGGAGAAGGCATTGTCATCCGTGTCTGGCACAGCATAATGAACTCGATAAACTAGTGCGATAAACTATTGAACAGATTGATTCCGGCAATTCAAAAATCTAAGACACATTAGAATATCGTGCAAACCGTGCGTTTAACTGCGGGTGCATCGCGCAAAGTGTCGCATGTCAAAATGCGGGAATATCGTGCAAAGTATCGCGCGTCGAAGATTTGTTCCATTATCGCGTAATATCCCAATTTTGTAATTGTCAACGAGAATATCGTACCACCGATGCCGACTAAGTGGGATGTCTCATTGAGACACGTTGCCTATGCAACGTTCTCATGCCTCTTGTGTCGCGGCACGAGGTGATGTCGGCTGCGTACGTGTGTTCATGTACGTATGTACATGGATTGTGCGGTTTTGAGCTTAGGCTCAAGTATCGGCTGAATGAGGTCACGCTCTGCTTCGACAAATGGTTCGACCCGAATCGGTTGGAGGAAGGTCGATCGTCTTGGAATCGTCGCTAATGAGTCCCTTCTCTTGTACCGTCAGCAATATATGTATCGCATTGAGAGTTGACTGGATTAATTAGGCCTGATTTTCGCTCGCTAGAGAGGTTGACCTCCCATTTTTTAAGTTGTAGATTGTTGGCACTTAATAAATGGGGATCTTCATTCTCGAAGCGTCTGCCCTGCCTTTTGATATCGCCTGTGGTATAGCACCCTGGTGTCTCAACTGAAATTGTACCTAATCAAGTTCAAATCAATCTGAGATGCGAACATGCGCGGACAAGAGTCGAGCGAGTCTCATTCTCGTCGATCTCATTTGATCGAATCAATCTTCTTCAGATTTGGGCTTAACCCTTGCTCGAATGTAACGTTGAATTCCCGAGTTGTCGGCTCGTCATATGAAATGCTCGCAGTCTAGGAGAGGCATCGGGCGTCATCAGAGCAATCCTGAGGTGATAATTCATTATTTGTTTATTAATTGTATTAAATCAAAAAATTATGAGTCGTATCAATAAAAGACAATACAAAATTATTTAATTATATATATTTGTTGTATAGTGTGCGCGCGTATCAAAAATAAAATTTTCAATGCGTACAATAATAACAATTTTTGGAAATATTAATAATTTTAGGCACACACGCTATAAATCGGATTTCATTTGTGTGTTGCAGATTAATGTAAAAAGTGCTAACCATCTAGACAATCCGAGAGGAGGAGGAGGTCTGGGAAAGGCATCGGGGAAAGGCAGCGGAGCAACCCAGGGGTGAGCATTTATTATTTATTAATTAATAGCTTTGAATCAAAATTTATAAAATTATTTAAATACATTTCTGTTTATTATCGTACGCTTGGAATATAAAATCAAAGGGTACAATAATAATTTTACAAGTTATATAATTATTGCGAGCGTCGTAATAATTTCGATTATTGATTATGTATTGTATTTGTTTGTTATAGATCTCCGAAGCTTCGATGCAGTCAACTCCGCTGCTGCGCATCGGGTGGTGAGTGATACGAATTTCATTTTATTACGAGGTAACGGTTTTGTAGTGAGTTGATTGTAGGTTTGGATTTTAGATAGTCTGTAGATTGTAGTTAGTTCCGTTACCTCAAAATGGATGAAGAGAATTAAGCTTCTCTATTTTATAGATACACCTCAGATAAGCAGTAAACAAATAATTTTTTATTTACAGGTTTAAAAGAGGAATTTTCGGCAAAACTATAGATTAAATAGTTTGGAAAGTAAAAAGATTTCGACTTGCGTTTTCATAAATTTTGTTCGTTATAAATGCTTTTTGCGCGATTTTCATAATTCCGGGGAATTTTTTTCACGAAACAATACAAAGTGTAAGTTTAGCATTTTGCATTATTTAGATAAAATGCTCCATCAGCGAATTCAAATCAATTCGATTTTCCACATTTAAAAGTTAAATTTCCACGATAAAAAGAGCAAATGTCGTGCAATTCTATAGAATATAAAATTTTCTATCGTATTCTATATTCTATATCGTGGCGAGAAGACGGAAGCTCGATCATCTAATTTATCTATATGTCTCATGGCATGGCGAGGTTGTTCCGGGACAGTCCGGTGGACTAATAGCCAATTTGACTAATTGTGCCGACAATTCCGGGAACGATAACTCCCGGAAGATTGTCGATTTGTACGGGGCGAGGTGAAATTCCCACCAGTCGTGTAGCTTGGAGATTCGGCGTGATAATTATCGGCCGCTGGGTGCTACTCAAAATATCCAATTGTCTGGCTTGAAACTGAGCGTTAATCTGTCCGTATCCCGGATATTTCGCGAGCATGCCGCTTACACTTCCGTAAGGAATCCCACCTGTTGAATGATGTAATCGATAATCATTACATTAAATGACTTATTACTATCGCAATTATAATAATAGTAAATAAAAAAAATTGCACAATGTAATTCTTTCATTTGCATAACATTTTTTTCTTTTGTATTTGCTTTATAACAATATTTATTTTTTATTTATTATTTTATTATAAAAATAAAATATGGAAATATGTAAAGTAATTTCTTCAATCTCAGTCTGAAAAATAATTTACCTAGCTGAACTAAATATATGTAGTATATATGTGATATACTTGTAATAATCGATCAAAACGTACGAATATATTCGGGCAAATAATTATATATTATAGGTGATAGACATATGTATATAATAAAGAAAATGTGGGATATAATAATATTTTAAAAAGATTTGAATTCTCTACAAAAGGCACCCAATACAGTATATTTAGCAAGTAACAAAATACATCGGTGTTAGACAACAGTACAATACTGAAATAATGGTGTTATTAAATGTAATATATACATTTTATTCATAATGGAAATATTTAATTCTAAGGACTAAAGAGTGTTTTACTTAAAAAAATATTAATAAATATCTAAGAACATGTATAATATTTTAAATGACTATGGGCATATTTTCTTATAAGGTACTATGTTGTTATTGTTATTCCAACATCCCTCCATTCAAAAGCAACACCAAACATGCATTCACAGATTTGTGGAAAATAGAAATTGTTTACTTTCTTTTGCTTAGTTTTACTTTCGAAGATTGGGATGCTCAGCCAAGTGCACCGATTTATGGCATATTCATGTCATAATTTAAATTCATGTATAAACGCAATTAATTTACTTCTGATTGAAAATTATTATAAAACTGCGATCAAATATAATTTACAATAAAATAGGGTGCATCGGCCAAAATTCTTTGTAACACTCTATGATCTACATCTACACTTCTAAATACTTGAGACTTTTGTCTTCGCATAAAAAATAATGATATGAAATAAACAGTTTGGTCAGTATCTATAAGGTATATTTATAATACCTTGACAGACCTTGGCAATATGAATGGCTAATTAATCGACTTACTTGGAAGCAGTGTAACAATGCAGAATCACATATTGGCGAACAGCTATTATTTGAATGTCGCATTTACTCAAATTAAAAGAATTAGATGATTATTATAAAGATTTACAAAATTGATCTCATTTTTTTCCTTCGTAGAATATAATTCCATCTAAAATTGCTTAAAATTGCAAGTTATATAGTTGTTTTTAACAATAACATGTATTATACTTACAAGGCGGATATATCTCCAGTTAACCATTATTGCAGATAAGTCACGAGCGATTCTGCATAGTTGAACTAATCGATTTATTAATAAAGACATTGGAATATGGAGTGTGGATTGTCTTAAGGCAAAGCTTACCACTTTAATTGAGTCTAAGCTGTTCCAAAACATCCACACATATATTAAAATAACTTTATTCTTTAAACATAATAGAAAGTATATACTCTCTAACAGAAATTTGGCTTTTGAATACAGGCCAGAGTTAGATTTACATTTATGATGGATAATAGAAGATTTTACAAATGACTGACATAAAAAGAATATATAATATTTTATATATATAATCTGAAAATAATATATAGAGACTATTGATTATATTACTTGTGGCTACACATTGTATAAACCTTTGATATTACATTATATTACAAATTAGTATATGTGCGCATTGATTTGACACACATTCCTGAACATATAATCCACAATCAAAACTTGTTAGATTCATCATTGAGATAGCATGATAATTAAGGAAAATATATATTTTCTCCAACTTCTATACTATACGATTCGCGCATCACTAAGATTATATATTTTCCTTAATACAGTAAGCGCGAACACAATGTGGAGTTAAAATATTATATTTATCAACTATAATATATATAAATAAGAGTGTATAAAATTGTCATAAGTTATCGGGGAAGATCCACAAAATTTTCCACCGCTGTAATCAATATAGCATACCTCGATAATCGTACATTTGATAGAACATATCTATCTAGCATCGTGTCTTGAGCACGTTGATAAAATTAATGAGACGGAATAAGAAAATACATGTTGCTATTACTTCAGAAACCAGTTATCAGTGAGTAGTCTTCATAAGTAATAGCTCAATAGCTATATGATCACATAGACCTGTGAATTTCGAAGCGTATCAAAAGATAAATTTACAGAGACAGATTCACTTGAAAGTTAAATGTTAAAATTCGGTACCATTTCTGTAGCTATAGGATAAGAGAATCTATATTTATATGTAATACGATTACAAGTTCCATAGCTGGGCACACGTGTTAAGCGTAATGCAGTGACTTATCAGATTGCATGCACGTTTATATTTTGCCCATCACGTCGCATTAAACTATAAGTTGCTCACAAGAATGCGATGGATGATTCGATAGAGTATGCGTGCGACGATATTATCTCATAGTACTTAATTAAATATGTCGCGACGATGTCACATCTCTGTAATCGTAACACAAACTTACAAGTGAATCAATTATAGATTCGCGTTTTCGCGATATTCTCTGTATAGTGAGAGAGGTTCATAGATTAATAGACATGTCTTGGTCATAAGATGTGAGATTCGTGTCTGTCGAAGATACGGGAGTAATCGTTGCCGCCGTTCCGCTAGTTGGCGATTGCAGAGGGGTCGAGGTCGTAGGTAAAGACGTAGGACTCTCCAAGGTTGAATTCCAAGGACTTCTTTCGGTGCTATCACCCCCATCATCCGATACAATTGAGATATCAGCGATAATACCGCTTTCTATAGGATGGATATTAGCATTATAGATCGATATCGATGTCAAATTTCCTTAAACAATCACTGCAGTCAAAGCGTAATACTCACCAACGCTACACTGGCTGTTCAGTGTAGTGCTACGATGATGCGGTCGTGGACTCGTATCTAATCCAAGATTAAGCGTCGTAGGAGGGCCGCTACTTCCACCACTGCTCGAGGACGAACTAACGGAAATTACGCTATGTGGCCTTCTGCTGCAGCGACTGGAATCCTCCGCCATTGACACCGCTATAGAGTTTCTAAATCTGGGTGCTGTGCGAGAAAAATTCAAATTTTTGTCTCAATCTTTGAGATCATCGACATAAATGAATATATTTTCGATAGCCCGCAACTTTGCTATACTTACTCTTAGAGAGTTGAGCTACGCTAATAGAACGATCGTTAATCTGATCTGCGCTAGGCCTTATATCTAAACACGGCTTATTCCCAATGCCCATGCTCGACATCTCTGCCAGGCGCACTTCTAAAAAGGTCAAACATCACATGATTGCAATTCACTGTCACAATTCTATTTTTTCTTTTTTAAGATCGACGAAGCAAAGATGGCGCATTACCTCTGTTTCTAAGCGCCTGTTTCCACAAAAGGTTGCTAAGCTCCTCGGTCCAGGCTTTCTTAATGTCTTCACTCGCGCATTGCAACGTATACGTATCGCCTGGTTTTCTCTTGCGGAACCAAATCTCGAATTTTGTGGGCGAATCCGCGATAACGGCAGTCAAGCCAATGTCCGTCGTTTTAATGCTATGTTTATAGATGTAAATATCAAGGTTCTGAAAGAAATATATACATATATAAGTAACATCTAATAAAATAAGGAAGAAACAATGTGCGTACAATTAAATATGAAGCGGCATTCACAAAATATTACCTTTCTGTCAGGGAATCTTCTTGCTTTACTGAAAAGTATAAGATCTTCGAACAAAAAGACTTGTCGCAGACACTTCTTGCCTTTTCCTTGCCAGACTAAGAATTCGTTTTGCCGCAATAATCTTCCTTGTTCTTTTACGTTTACCTACGAAATAATGTTACAATTTATGTATGCATGGATATTATAAATATTATAATATTTATAAAAAGATATCAAGATATGTATGAGGAAGAGAGAAAGAAAAAGAGAGAGAGAGAGAGAGAGAGATTCAATTATTAAAACAATTATTATTAATTTTCTTAATAATAAAAAAATGTAACGTACGTCGCAATCGCGAAGCGAGTCCATTGCCAAAAGATCGTTTCCATGTCGAAGTTGAAATCGAACCATTTGCTCGGCAGCCCTTAAATCCGCTTCACCTTCGACTATCGGCTTCATACTATCCTCCTTCTCCTCCTTTTCTTCTTTGCCAGACAATTGTTCCGATAGATCTGTGCCGGCTTTAACTAGCTGCTGAAGTAGCAAAGCATATTTTCCCATCCGTTGGACTGGTTTCAATAAATAGCTAGCCAAGTCCATTTTATCCCCCAACTCTAGTTGTTTCTGTTTGAAGAAGCTCGTGCCGTATTCCGCCATCAGTGAATCCGAATTTGGTTTATTTTTATTATACAAGGCATAAAGATAAAACTTTTTCTCCTATATTAAAAGATATATTTATATATTTTTGATATCCTACAATTGTCAAGGATTAATATATAGTTATACTTACGTGTCTGAGAAAACATTGTCCCACAAGCATAGGCGATTGCTCGCATTGCTCCAGTTCGCGTAGAAAGTGTTGACTGTGAAATTCGTATATCTTCTCAACATTCCCGAAGATTACGTTTCTCTGTCCTCTAAGAGCCTGCGGGATGTCCTCTCGCACGAGTTCCGGGATATAGTTCTTCGTAAGAAAATTTAATTGTGTTATCCTCAGTATGCGCGATAATAAATAATAAAATCACGCTTGAATAAACTTTAATAACGTACACATGGTAATTACCTCTATTATGTATTCGAGTGACTTCACGTAGTCTCGTTCAGTCTGTATCATCTCCCTCATTATGAGTAGTATTGTTCTGCAAGGTGAAATTCTTCATTAATGACATTGCGACCGTATAATAACGAATACGATGATAAAGGAAATTATATAGAAGAACAATGGATCGTGCTATTTCAGTGATATAGCAGTGAAATGTCACGCATAGAATATTTCGTGCTTTAATTTTAATAATTCAATAATTTTATCATTCTATTTTACGATTAATATGTGAGATATCTGTATTATACTCTTAACTAGTAGTTTTTATTAATATTAATTTTTTATGCGTGTGAGCAACAGAAACATAAATCAATTTTATTCTATTAAAAATGTATAGTGATATGTAAATATCATACTTTTTTGCCTTCATTCCTGGCGCGATGCTGGCTGATCTGTGAAGATGCGAATTCACCGGTGGCTTAACCAGCCTTCTCGGAGCCGGGCTTCGCGGAGGTGTCCGTGGTGGCGAGCAATCCAAAAGTTGTTCAGCACTCTCTCGAAGTTCAGCGATGTTGTCCAGGACCGGTCGACCACCGCTGCCGGCTGATCCGACGCTTTCCATCGGACAAGCGTAAGAAGCACTGCTGTCGCTATCATCCCAGGATGTCCCTGGAACATGTGCATTTCCAATTTATACATATATTTTTTTACGACGATCTTAAGGAAGAAAGAATCTCACTTTTTGCTAAAGTATCATCCCAGGAGGTCGACTCGGAAGCAGCGAAGGACCTTCTTCTCGCGGGACTTCCTGGAGCGGACGTAGTCCTAGCATTCTCAAGGGCTTCCGCGCACTTATTTCGCGCGATACGACATTGCTCCAAAAGGACTTCGTTACCGAGCTTCTCCGCCAGAGCCATCATCTCGGTGAAATGTTCGGGTGGCAGAGGTGGCCTCGCCATCAGGAATTGCTGGGATCTCCTCTCGCTTGCTAGACGAGCTTCCTGCGCCCACTCGTAGGCGCGATCCTGAAGGAGACAGCATCTTGACGTATCCTCCAAATACTCCCGTCTATCTTCCAAGCGGGAGCCGAATCCTCGTAAATGCTGCTTCAAGGATCTCGCGAGCTCGCGAAGTCCACTCGCGCTCGCCGCCTCAGCAAGGTCGCTTCCTTTGTCCAGGTGTCTCTGTAACATGAAGAAAGAAAAGAAAATCAGTGATAAATAAGTATACTTGTAATTTCGAATGTAATCTGAGCACAAACATTAACCCGGTAAATTCGTATTTTCTTGCGACGCTTATTTACTTTCAGAGCTCCGAGTCTGAAGTTCTATCTAGAATTTCATTTAGAACTTTGCGAGCAATAGGCTATAACGGAAGTCAGCCGAATATTTCATCCACCAACTCATAACGAAGGGCGCGATAAAGGACAAGAGTCTCCCCATCTCCCGATGAGATGATATCTCGGTGTTCCTCTTGTGGTACCACAGAACTGCAGAGCTCCCGCGGCGTCCAACAGACCCGTTCCTAATGGAGGGGCCATAAATCGACATATGGGGGTAAATAATGTCACGATAAGCCAGGGGAACCGTGCGGCCGTCACCATCCTGTAGAAGTCTACAACACGCTTGTAGAGGGACGGATAACACGCGCATTTACACGGAAAACCCCGCGTGCACGCACGGAATCGCATCCCCGACGCGATGATACACGTACTCTCGCATTCGCGCGAGCGTGAAATCCACTTAGACACGGCTCGACTACATCCTGGAACACGGATTGCTCGATCGAGTATCCGTGACGAAAGACGTATCTCATCCCACGATCGCTCAAGATATAATGGCATGATCGAAGAGAGAGAGAGAGAGAGAGAGAGAGAATCACCGTCGATAGGAAATTACGTCGATATCATACATAATATGACTGAAAAAGATTTCACCAGCTGGTTTATTTATTAGATATAAATAAGTGACGCATTAATATGCGATCGAGGACGCGCGAAATGAAATCGGATAGACGCTTAAGGAAAAGGCGCAAGAGGCTTCTGTACGAAGAAGAAAGTATTTCGCACGTAATCTTCGATCGATGCAAGATACACGTCATATTGTAACCCTGATAAAATATCACGTGTCCCGCAGCGTTAAGACACTTTAATATCGTAAGTAGAAAGTATGTGGCATGTAATTGCTTTAGATATATAATACTGATGTGAATCAAAGGCAAGTACGTAGAATTCGAATATATAAATATAAATGATCCAGAGAAGAATGACGTAAACTATTAAAAATATTATTTCACTACATTCTATGCGATAGTCTAAGCTGTAATGTGTAAAAATTGCAAATGCGATTTAACGGACCGGTTTATCATATATATATATTTAAATACTTTATTTAAAATTCGTATTCAAATAACATACGGTGAAATTCGTACAAATAAGGTAAGACATTTCTTTTATTATTTTTCAAAACGTTATACTTTTGACAATTGAATTATTAAGAATAAATTTATACAATATACAAATGTATATTAAAGAAAGTCCCTCTCTAAAAATATTATTTTCAATTGCATATTAATTTCTCAAGTGTAGCTAGATATACTTATTAATTTAGCGATAAATCGCGATATACATCTCATAAATATTTACAGTCAATCGAATTGTTTCCTTGAGAATATAATTACATGAAACGGCTATGTCTGCTTTTTTACGATTTGTCCTATCGATCACTAATACAGTTCGGGGTGCTCCTCATCCATCCCGATGGCATTCGTTCATTTACGTGCACGTGGCTGATCCCCCCAAGATTCTCGAATTATCGGAGGTACTTTTCTCCTGTTGAAGCATGACACCCGTGAGAAAATTTATAACACGCGCGATATTATATTTTTTCACGCTGGTAGCACCCTTAAGTATTGAATAGCATGCCGACATTACTTACACGCATTGATTCGTTTGGTATAAATAATATTCTCGAATTAATTTACCGTATTATTTTATAGATACCGTATTATTTTATAGGAATACATTTTATTAATAAATTTATTAATAATAGTACGTTTACTAACACACATCTGTTTAATTTTTTACTGTAATATAAATAATTTGATTCTTTTAATATTACTCGCATCATGTAATGATGAGGATAGTATTTTCAGGAAGAAAATTGTTATTTAAAAACAAAGTTTAAGATATAAATTTAATTTCATTGCAGCAATCATCGCGATACAATATAATTACAAATCGCTCCAAATTGGATTCTGTAAAATGATCGTCGATTAAAATTGTAAATCAACATTATTCGCGTGTCGATCATCGACATTATTTTTTTATAATCTCCACGTATGGTTCGTGTACTTTTCAATCAGGATATCGAATCTTTCTATCGAAACGGATCGATTTGCGGCTGATTCATTTTTCTGATTATAAGTTTGCACGTAAATTATTGCCTCGAGGGTCGTGAGATGCCATCTTTCTCTCTCTCTCTCTCCCTTTCCTCTTGAATCGTTTAATCAGAGCGACCGTTTCGACACAGGGTATAATCCTCTCCTCATAGGCGTGCGATTCTCTTACGCACTGTGGGTCCGCATGTATAGGGGCGATTATTAAATTTCACATCATATCCAGCGGCGATTATCTCGCAACAAAGTCCTTTAAAGATTCATATTGTGTTGTAGTGTACTACGACACTATTCTATTTCCGCTTCCCAGACAGTTGGCGTATCTCGTGGTCCTGTTAATTGTTTATCTACACGAGAGAAAACCAACCCGCATTATTATGAAAGTTTGCCGATGACTTGTTAATTTATTATCGCGCCCTCGTTGTGACACGTATATCTAGACCGATGCAAATCCAAGATCATCGTGAAAGTATGCCTATTTCACTATATTTATGTACTTAAAAGACCATTAAGCAAGATAAGACCATAAAATTTTAAAAGATTGACGTGATTGTTTAAATTATATAACACTTTTTCAAGTAATTGTATATTTTTTAGATATAAATAAGAGTTGCATGTGTAATTAAGCATGAAAGATTACGATAATTGCATTTAATGATAAATTGCTGCGTTACTGCGTAAGAAAATGCAAATCGATGCAAAATACATCGATCATAAAAAATGTTGAACTTGATGTACATCGAGATTATTGTTCATCGACAAAAATTTGTATTATACTGAAATTATTTTACACGACAATTATATTGTATAACGAAATTATATAGCGAAATTGAATACGAAAATTCTTTAGTACAGCATGCTTGTGGTTTGTTATTACGATGGAATGTGAAAAGGCGCCTCTCGGAGCATAATTGCTAGAGCGTGAAACCAGATTAGCTAAAACGTGACCAATCTCGCCGATACGTAGATTGCTTGCGAACCTCCGTATATATGTATATATGTATGATATGTGTGCGCGCGCGTTTATTAATTGACATTATTGTTGATTATCATAATAAATTGTTAATAAATATAAGAAACTTCGCGAGCGCAAAGACCTCTATAGCTCTACACCTCTAAACACGCGGTGCCGATTATACTTTCTAATTATAGCAACGCGCGGAATATCGTATATACCGAGGATGGAAAGTCTTATTATAAGCAAAGGTTATTCTCAGTATCGGAAAGGATATTCAACTGTGACATATCTCTTCAAATGCGAACATCATGAAAATACCTAATTAAAATATTCTTCGACCACGATATGCGCGATCTTTCGTAAGCTTGGACGCGCGTAACGATTCGCAATCGACAGCTGGAAATAATTACATCCAGTGAGCATGATTTTTCGGTATATCCTTTGTGAATTTCATTATAACACGGACATAAGCAAACGCGCGGATTTGCGAAAGACGAGCTGAAAAAAAAACTGAGGTAATGAAGAATGCGCAATGCATGGTAAAAGTCTAAGTGTCACGAGATATTATACTTATAACATTCTGCGGTATAATTAATTATGAATGAGCTCTATGAACTGGTAGAGCTGGACTCTAGTACAATGATTCACACCTTGTTTGATCACAGTGGTCTTATAAGATCTGATATAATCGGCCACATGTGTCACACTTTATGCAGCGATGGTATGCTAACAAATTGAATTCCATTTTATGATTCAAGCGCATCACGAGTTATTTGTTTCTATTGCAAACTGCTCGTTTGTAAGCAATGTTACAAGCGCTTGATCAACGGTATGATCATTTATATACATGTATAAGATCACAAAAGATCCTAATATAATTCCAAATATATTTAAGTAAATTTTAAATTGCTTATTATTAAATTATTTATTCGACATAAAATTCGCAGTTTTCCAAATGCTTGAAACATTTGGTTGAATGTATTGAATTGAAGTGTAATATAAACTACAAAATATATTACTGCATGAGTTATATAAAGCAATTTTTTTCGATAGCATCATGCGATGCCCTATCTGCGATGCTAATCGCGAGTGAATTGGCTACGTCGATTTAAATTGACTTATCCTTTCCTGGTCTTATTCGATGTTATAATTCCTAATTATCTTGTACAATAAGAAATAAAAATGATGTAAGACATGGATGCAATATTGTCCGATTGTTGTCGTACGATCAAACTTCAAAGCGATTCTCAATCTTCCTCTCTATCAGTCCTTACGTGCTCCATTAAGCAACGTTAATTAACCGTTAAAGTAATCATTCACTGTCGCTAGTCATGGGCTGGCTCTTACGTCAAGCATACTTCTTAGTCGCGACTTATACTGGTTCTTTCAACCGGTATTTGCAATATATTTCTAACTGTTTAACGTTTAACGAATGATAAGATGACACCATTCGAAGATGCGGATGTGACGAGTAGTTGACTGTCGAACGGTTTTCCTAATTCAACTGGCTCTCTTCTCGCAAACAATTGCCGGGAACTTTCCTATTGATATGGCTAAACCGTACATCGGTTTCTCATCAGCAACAGGTTGTCAACCGATGTGGAATGTCATGTAAAAAAGTTGCAGCAAAATGCGGACAAATCGGGTATGTTTAATAGAATACAAAGTAGTAAGCATTATCAACAATGACTTTCTTTGCGCATCCGCAAGATACAAATGTATGACATGTAAAAATAAAATGATCAATAAATTCTGCTGTGCCAGTTGCAATCAAACGTTCAACAAGCAGTTTTTATAACGATAATCATAAAAAAAAGATGAGAATAGTTCAGTGGTAAAATAGAAAACAGGATTTATATTATTAAAAAAGTGATAATTTCCTAAATGCCATGCTGTACATGCGCTGCAAATATAATGATAGTCAAATCGTCATTATTGAAAAATCACTTTCCCGTAAATGTGCTGGAAAGCACTTAAACAACAGCAATTTAAAGCTTATTTGGTCGAACAACAACAAAAATTCTTAAAGTATATAATTGGAATTTTATAAATTGCAGGTATAATATATTTACGCGCTTGCGGCATTAACTATTTATGGCTGGAACTTTCATTACGATAAATCACGCGAGGATCTTACCGTACGCTTAGAACTCGAATAGCAAACGCTATTCGAGTCTCGAAAGTTATGTTAATGCCACTTCTCTTCCCGCGTAACTCAATTCCGGATACAAATTTCGGATGCAACTTGTCGTTTTCGACATAGATAACCGGGAAGATTCCGTTCTTTGTATCCAAGGCGACGAGAATTCAACGCCAGTTTCAGCGGCAACAAATTACCTGTCACGATACTTTCTCCTACTGCAATCCTATTGCATACTGCAGAAAAGATAGAGTTACGCGGGACATTGCGGCGCAAATGCATGTCAGAGATGCATCATCTTATTCGCGAGTCCACGAACGTTTCGCTTTGTCCCATTTGATTCGATTTATGATCGGGGTAGATAAGTTAGATAAACAAGTCTGAAGAGGAGATGAAGTCGGAAGATTATTGAATATTCATGAAATTACAAGCAGACATAGCGATGCTCAGCATAAAAGATTTAATTACATCTACACAACATGTTAATTATGTTAATTTCTTAATGTAATTATTTCCACAATTTTTTATATTACCTAAAAGAATACATGAAATTTTATATGTTAATGAATTGTAACGAAACTTTCCTTATAAAAATAGCAAAATTTGCATTGTAAATAGAATAATCACACATCCATACATACATACACACACACACACACAGGTACTATGTGTTTGTAGACCTAGAGAGAGATATTAAATTTATCTTTCTTCCATCATGTTACGATCAATGAACAACACGATGTTAAAAATTTCTCTAGCTGCATGAGAAAATTGTTACAGGAAATATAACGTAACTGATGCAAATACAAGCGTCCAGACATTTTTCCATTAATGAAAAACGGTATAACTAGACTCTAACATAAATGAGCATACGCGATGCATTAATTTGCATAATTTGAGAAAAAAGGCAGAAAGCATCGAGGTTAATAAGGCATTATTTTGAATAATAAATTAAAAACGCGCAACCGAGATGTATAAAGCATGTTTCATACAAAACGGCAAACTATCACTTCACTTACGATCGTATAATTTATTAAGTAATAAAATATGGCACAACGTACGTACCTAGGTGTGACACTTAAAGACAGAGAAAGTACATTATTGCATATGGTCACATCATTTTATAATAGTTTATATTAGCGTCTATGTATAAATAATTTTCTTTTTAAATACGTATTATATACATATAACATATAAAATATTTTTTACTATTTCTTTATCTACATACTATACTTTTTTATCTACTTTTTTACCTCTCTTGATATTTATCATTCTATTTTAATTAATAAATAAAAATGATTTATATCAATAAAAAATGTTAGTTACCAATATTATTTGGGTATATATGTGTGATGTAATTATGTACCTATATATTATCGCGCAATATATGATGCAATCCGTTGAATGCATCCTCTACTTAAATCATTCTATAGAAAACCAAAAAAAAAAACGTGCATATCAATATTTCATCATAAATACGCAGCAACGCATATAAGACATCGGTCCGATCGTTTCGACACCAACCGTGTTATTGCAAAGTTCAAGAGTACTTTTATTACTTTCCCTCCTGCCCTTCCCGCACCATCGACCACTTTCACTTCTTCTCTTCCTGCCTTTTTGAGCGTGCGATTAGCTGCAGAAATGCAGGTATTCGCGATGAAAACTGGTACCGGTCGCACGTGAAATCGATAATCGCCACGAATAGTCCAAGTATCTTGAGATATCGCATTCCACGGCGGCATAGGTCGTATCTCTCGACTATTCGTCTGCGTTCGTCGTCACGTGAACTCTCTCCCTATGCATGCCCGTCTCTCCTGTCAACGTAGAACGCTTGCCTTAATCGTCGCGAGACTTTACTTTCTGTACCCGACAGATCTTTTACGATCAAAAGCTATAAGACTTTGACCAAGTTGTAATTTCATTACGGAAAATATGGCATGTTCGAGAAATTACGTGATCTTTTCCAGCTTCGGTAGGAAACTCGACACATGCGTCATAAGATGCAATCGTTAGGCTGAGAAATCATGTAAATAAGCTTTCATGTTTTATTCGTGGCCTCTCAACAGAATTACCGGAGGCGAGTGGCCGCTAAGTTGTAATTTTAACCGCGAGCTTGATTTCCTATGTTTTCGCAAAGTGATTCGCTGTAAAATTACTGTAATACTCGTAGTTAAAGTAAAACATCGTTTAGTGATTGAGAACCTGCCTATGGAAAAGCTTTTTAAAAGTCTTTTAAAAGGATCTAATGC